AACAGGGGGGTGGGGCGCTGATCCCGGGCGGTGGAAAATCCATGTAGGACTTTTGAACCCCCAGAAACTTTATAGTCATCCCTTGGTATCTGGTGGAGTTGGATTTAGGAATGACACCCCCACACCCCCAGCAGATAGCAAAGGTTCACAGATGCTTAAGTTAAGTTCCATATAGTTGGCCTGGAGAGTACTCAGCTCAGAGTCAAGCTGCTGGCATCTGTTCACTGGACCGAGTCCAGCACCGCGAGACAAAATGCCACCAGGGCGCTGATGCCCTGTTGCTGGGCTCTGCCCCTTGCGGTTCCCGCCCTCTGTGTTTACTCAGTTCCAGCAGGCAATCAGCTCCTTGGTGGCTTTGTTCTGGTCACAGGGTGGTGCCAGAGACCTTGACTTGCTGACCTGTGCTTTTCCCCAGTGGTTCTCTGAGAAAAGGGGGGGGCACCTCTACACAGGGGCTGTCGTTCAAGCTGGGTGCTGTGTCTGCTGCGCGTTCAACCCGCACTGTGCCCGCAGCTGTATGGATCCCGCCCTGAATGCTGTGCTGTAGGTCTCAGTTCCAGGGCTGTCAGGTCCAAAACGCTGGCTGTCACCCTGTGCAGTGCCCGCTGCTAGGGCGCGTCCATGCCCCGTGTCCTGTGCCTGGATCTCAGTCCCAGGCTGGGGTCTTGCTTCACGCCTGGTTTCCCTTCTTACCCCCTAGGCCACATTGTGCTACTTTTCCAGTGTCCAAACCTTGGACAGCTTATCTGCATTTATTGAAGTGATTCTTTATTCAGTTTCCACATATAGCTCTCTCCTAGATGTCCTCCTGCTCTTTTTTTAATGTTTGTTAATGTTGGATTTAACCAGTATGCAGTCCCTGATACTGCAGGAAATTATTCTGCGGTAGTCACATTTTCTGTGTGCTCTCTATTAGTTTATTCTCACCGACTGTTTTCTTTAAGGTACTTCTTCAGGCATTTGTTTATTCACTCAGTATGTTCATGGGAAGTTTTTGACAGTGGTAAATTTTCTATGAGTGGTGGTAAGTACAGTAATCACGGAAGTGGCCTTTGCATTGTTGAAGTGATATTTTGTGAGAAAGTGATACCGGAATTGTCAGGCCTAGTCTCCCAGCCAGGAACAGATCCCAGGCTGCAGGGCAGTGCTGAGCCCCAGCCGCTAGACCCCCACGGGTTGGTGTCTCACGAAGCCGCAGCAGGAACTTCGCAGACACTCAGGCAAGCAAGTGAGAAGAGTCAAGTTTGTTTATAGAAAGAAAAAGTTTATTGAGGAGAAAAAGAACAGAAATAAAGTGGGACTCCCAGGCCAGGGAACCAGGCCTGGGAGGGGCAAGGAAGCCAAAGTGGAGTTGTGTCTTAGGGAATTTATACCTTTTTTTCCCTCATTATTCTAAAGCTCCACCAGTCTCTTTGTGATTGGTTAGTTCTCGGCTGTCTCACTTAATTTGCTACTGAGTGGGGGATCTTCACATTCCTTATCTAACAGCTTTGTCTTTCCCCATTTGTTACATCTTTATCTTTATGGCCCAGTCCTCTGGATGGGCATCCCTGCATTGAAGTTAAACAGCTGCCCTTCTAAGTTGTCCATAAATTAAACCACTCACCCATTTCTCCAATCTCCGCCTCCCTTTACCACCTGAAGGAAACCAGGACTAGCATTAACAATGCTGTCCTTGGTCCTGGGATGTTTGTTTTTCCTAGTGGAATTGGTTACTTTCCCTTGGTTGTCCTTATCTCTGAAGCCTCCCTAAATTCTTCAGAGGTCCCCTCCTGCACTGTCCCTAAAACTGCATCATTCCTAGCTTGCCCTGTGTCTCAAAAGGAAAATGTGGACCTCCCTGGTTGTGCAAGGGGTTAAAAGTACAGCACTGTGAAGCTATCTGTGGCCTCTGCAGCACATGTTCGATTCCCATCCGGCCAGGGAGCTATCCACATGGTGTGGCAGACCTCTCCTGCCTCATCTGCTGCTCCCCTCAGCAATGTATTTCAGTCAGCCTGCCTGTTCTACTTCCCACTCTGACTCTGGCAAATCCTCTCACCCCCTGCACTTCTGGTCTACCTCTCTGTTCTTGTATGCATAAATGAATAAAATCAATCTTTAAAAAAAAGTAAATTAAAGTTCAAGACAATGGTGTGGGGAGCTGTATAGTTATTTTCTATGTCCTTTTTTATCAAGCATACTTGAGATATTGTGAAGAGACCTGATGAATATAATTCAGCCCTAAATCTCTTCACTCTATGGCTTTCTCCTGGTATGTAGGTGGAGTCATGTATTTGACTTTCGTGTGTCAAACATCTATGGGACCCTCCTCCAGTTGATGTGTTTACGTCTTAATTGCTTGGGTACATTTACAATGGTGTCATGTATCATGGATGAAGAAAATCTAGATGGATATGCTGTTTGTGGCTGACTCAAAAGATTGATCTAAATCACCTAGAGGAGTCGTGGACTTCATTGTGGGCAATAAAGTTAGAAACAATCATGCTGAAGTTCAACTAATTTCATCATTTTCTCCTTCAGGGAATACACTAACAGTTTATTAATATCCTCATGTGTCTTCATGGTGAGACAGGGCAAGCTAGGGTTATTAGGCAGTTTTAGGTACAGTGCAGGAGGGGACCTCTGAAGAATTTAGGGAGGCTTCAGAGATAAGGACAACCAAGGAAATGTAACCAATTCCACTGGGAAAAACAAACATCCTAGCACCACAGATAATCTTGTTAAGGATGGTCCTGGTTTTCTTCAGATGATAAGATAAAGTGTGAAGATGCTCACCAGGAGCGCTGAAGCATAAAGATAAAGCATAACAAATGGGGAAAGAAAATACTGTTAGATGAGGAATGTGAAATTCCTTGCTTAGTACCCCCTGAGAGCTAGCCAATCAGGAAGAGAGACTGAAATTTTAACATAATGAGAGAGAAAAAGTATATATTGCCAATGTAATATCCCATACCGGCTCATCTTGGTCCCTCCCATGTACTTTATACCTGGGAGTCTTTCTTCTTTGTCTTTTTTCTTCCTAAATAAACTTTTCTTTCAAAGACAAGATTTGTCTCTCTCTGCTTACTTACTCCAAAAGTCTGTGAATTCCTTTCTACGGTTTCACGAGACAAGAACTTGTGGTAAAGCGGCAGCAGTTGTTACACACGCCAGCATCAATGGTAGTAATGGAGCCATGAATATTATTGGACGTTGTTGCAAAAGAAATCTTCACAAGCATGTGATGAAAGAGCAGGTGAGCTTTTCATAACAGCGTAGAATTCTTGTGCATTCACATTAGCTAAGCAAAGCATCTTCATGTTGAACACCGACTCTGTGATCCAGATATCAGAAGGTCAAGATGCTTCTTAAATACCTGAATCTTGATTTTGATGAAATGTATCTTAGTATCTGAATGTCTTATTTACACTATATGTGAACTTCTTCTGTGTATTTTTTCAATTAATTCATACAAGAGCTGAGGTGCAGGCCAAAGGTGTGTGTGTGAGAGAGAGACAGAGAGAGGATTCACCAGAGACAAAGTGGGGAGAACAGGCAGAGAGAAATATGCTGCTGAGGGGAGCAGTGGGCCTTACAGGAGAGGTCTGCCATGCCCTGTGGAGGGGGCAGATAGCTTCTGAGTCAGCGCGGTGCTTAACCCCTTCAGCCCCAGGGCGGCCCTGTTGCGCTCTCTTCCCTCAGAGCCCTGAACCCTTATGGGCCCCGCAGTTTTCATGGCCTCGCCCACCTGCCGGTTCTCCTCAACCTCCACTCCTCCCACTTCCAGGCCACAACCCCACCCCGACGACGGCCCGACGGGCCGCGCAAGGGGTTGTGGGAAATGTAGTCTCGAGCCCCTGTGGTTCCCGCGGAGGTTTCTGGGCGGGGCTTCCGCGATCTGCGCAGGGGCGGCCCCGCCCCCGTCCGTTCGAACGTTCTGGCGCCTCCGCGAGCACGGGGGCGCCCCGAGGTGACCGCGGTTTTGTCCCGGGAGGCCGGGCTCGGGTGAGCGGAGGTGCCGGGGGTTGGGGAGCGGGGGCGCGGGCGAGCGGGGGCCCGGCCGCGTGGAGTCGGGCGCTTTGGAGCCGATTCCCCCGGAGTGCGCGTGGGGGCGGGGCAGGGCCGTTGGGGAGAACGTCCCGGCCTTTCCGGGGTGTCCCCAGCGCGGCCGCCCGGCCCTGACCCTGGATGCTGCCGGGGTCTTCCCGGGGCAGGGCACGGGTCCCCGAGGCGGGGGCCTGGGGAAGCGCGGGTCCGCCTGTGCGCATGCGCGCTGACTCCTCTGAGCCCCCAGAAGTCGGGCGGTGAGGGAGGGGAGAGCCAGGCGGCGTTTCTAGGTGGGGGTTATTGCACCCGGGGCCAGATTCACGGACCCAGGGTGGGCGGGTGACGTCGCGCGGGTTGCCAGGGGGAGGCGGCCCCTGTGGGGGCGGAGAGGTTGGTGGGAAACTGGGTTTGCAGGGGGGGTGCGGGGGGGGGAGTTGGGGGTTAGTTCCTGGGGCTTTAGAGGCTCATTGTCTGAATTTCGGGTGTGCTTTGCGTTCCCGCCCCCAGGCGGCGTCCTGCTGGCTGCTGCATTCTGGCCTCCAGCCTGGATGTGTGCACCCCGGGGGACCTTGTCCCTGTTGGGGTGTCAACGTAGCAGAGGGCGGGAGGCAGCGCGGAGCCACTGCCGGGGTGTCCTGGCAGAACAGTGCATTTGGGGCGTCGTCTCGTTGGAAATCGTGGCCACACTCTGAAGTGACTCCTCAGCTTTGAGACTGTTGTTCTTGTGTCACTGTTGATCAGGCAGTGGGACGTGTCACCTTTTACTAAGTTATGGTGAACCGTCAACCCAGGTTCTGCCGCTCATGGACTCGCGGGGCCTCTCCTGCCCCTTCTAGAAGGGTCACACGGCCGTCACCCGCAGTGACTCTCTGGTGTCTCCAGGCAGCGTGTGGCGGGCTCTGGACAGGAGACTCCAGGACCCCGTGCAGCTGCCTCCGTCCTCTGTGCTGGACCCCATCGCCCCTCCCAGCGCCGCCTCCAGAGCCCTCGCGCGTCTGTGAGAGCAGCGACAATGGACCAATCTCTGGTGAGTGACATGTTTGCTTCAGCTCGCTGTGCATTGACTTTATATGAGTTCGTCAACGGACATGTAAATTAGAAACATAGTTTTCTCCAGGGACACATTCCTCACCAGAGAAAGGTGTGGCGTAGATCCAGGCACATCACATGTCCAGCATGCGTGAAGATTGGGCTCTGCCCTGGTGCTCACGCAGCACAGTCAGAGTCTGTACCTGGGTCGTGGTTGATGACGCTGAAGGTGTGGACTGTGGCTCTTCACCCCGCTGGACAGAAACACTTCCTAGCTCTGCGCTGGTCAGGTGCGGGGTGAGGGAGGAGGGGGAGGATGGGGCCTGAGGACCTGAGTGCAGAATGGGGGTGAAGGAGCCACATGTCTATTAAAAAGGACAACTGATTTTTTTTTCAAGATTTGTTTATTTATTTATACATGCACTGGGTACAGTCAGAAGCGCAGAGGGTGAGAGAATTCACCAGAGCCAGAGAGGGGAGCAGAGCAGGCAGAAGGACCGAAGTACACTGCTGAGGGGAGCAGCGGGCAGCAGGAGAGGTCTGCGCGCCATGTTGGACCCTCACTGGCGATCGAACTGGCGCTGCAGAGTTTGATAACAACCTGCTTCACAACCCAACACTCAACCCCGTGCGTCCCCCAGGAGGCCCCAACTGAATTTTTAAGGTTTCTGTGCAGTAGCTAAAATCATATACCGTGTCCTACACAACTCTCGGAGCCTTTCATGCAGGCATCAGTCTTGGCATGTGTGCCGTTGAGTCCAATGGGGGATCCTTACATACCTGTCCCTGCCTTTCTCTCAGGTGGCCTGCAAACCGAAGGTGCCCAGTAGACTCCTCAGAGTCCTTTTTTTCTGGCCGTTGTTTCCACTGCTCCTGCGCATTTCTCCTTGGTGTGGTCTGAATGCATTTCTAGTGACACTCGCTACACCCTAAGTTGCTCTCCAGTCCAGTTACACTCTCCAAAAGTTCCTGCCATGTTTGAGAACACCATGTGTGACCTTTGGAAAATTTCATTTTTTTTAATTGTTTTAAAGCTTCTTATACTTTTTTCTTATTCTTTTACTTATTTTCCCTCCTCGATCTGTCATTGACATGTGTAGCACTAAAAGCCTTCTGCTGAAATAGTTGCCAGTTTTTTCCTACAATCCTAATGGGTCTTGCCCTACCCCTAGTTTCCCTCTCTATCAAACCACCCTCTCCCATCCCCCGTCTGCCTCCCTCCCTAACTTCTCCTCCCATTCCCCTGTTTGCTCTGGTGGTCACCTTTACCTTCAAATGACCCTGTTCAAGTTTTATTCAAGTATTTTGGCTGTAAATGTTTTTTGGGTATTTATTTTCCACAGATGAGTGAAGCCATCTCATATGTGTCTTTACTTTTTGGCTTATTTCACTCAAGAATAGCACCTCCCGGGGCCTCCCTGGTGGCACAAGGGGTTGAGATGCAACCGATGGGGCTGGCTGTAGTCTCTGCAGCACAAGTTCCATTCCCCGGCCAGCCAGGGAGCTACCCACATGGTGCAGCAGACCTGACTGGCCTGCTGCGTCCCTCGGCAGTGTATTTCGGTCTGTCTGCCTGTTCTGTTCCCTGCTCTGTCTCTGGTGAATCCTCTCACCTTCCTTCCCCGCACCTCTGGCCTGTACTGCAGCTCCTGTGTGCATAAAAAAATAAATCTTTTTTAAAAAAAAATCACCTTTTTGCCCACACATTTTATCCTCAGTGTGGCCCTTTGCTCCTTCCTCACAGCCCTGCAGTGCTCCCCTGTGTGTGCTCCACCCTTCCTGCCCTGCCTCTGCTGAAGGGATGTAGATTGGGCCATGACTGGGCAGTTGGAAACACAGCTGCTCTGCTCCCGGGTGGGATAAATCTTTTTGTGTTTGCGTTTTCCCATGAGGATAATGTGTAGAAGTATTGCAGATGATATGGAATTTCCGTTTTTATTTCCTTAAGAAACCTCTGCACCCTCATCCACAGGGTCTGTTCCGACTGTCATGGCCACCAGCCGTGGGTGAGAGCTCCCTTTTCTCTGCGCCCTCTCCAGCATTGTTCATTCCATGTTTTGTTTTTTTTTTCAGTGTTTCACTTTTTTAAATACTATTTTACATATTTTTACATCATTTTCATTTTTGCACAGTGTAATCATTTACATCTTCGTTATAGTCCCCATAAAATTCTCATCCCTCACCCCCCGTTTTGTATAAATCCATTCTTTTTCATTTGGACCTTCTCAGGGGTGAGGTGGCATCTAAGTGTGCTTTTAATTTACATTTCTCTTAAAATAAGTTAAGGTGAACATTCCTATTGTCTGTAGGATGTCAGAATTCCCTCTCTAGAGAAGAGTGTATGTAGTTCCTTTGTCCATTTTTTAATTAAGATTTATTCATTTATGCATACAAGAACTGGGGTACAGGTGAGAGGTGCAGAGGGTGAGAGGATTCGCCAGAGACAGAGTGGGGAGCAGAACAGGCAGACTTACTGAAACACACTGCTGAGGGGAGCAGTGGGGAGTCAGGAGAGGCCTGCTGCTCCATGCGGTTTGCTCCCTGCTTGCCAGGGATCGAACTCGTGCTGCAGAGGCTGTGGAGAGCTTCATAGGCTGCGTCCCAACCCCTTGTGTCACCAGGGAGGCCCCCCTTTGTCCATTTTTAATTCAGTCATCAGTTGGTTTCTCGCATTGTTTGGGGATGTTATAAATTTTGGAATGAACCCCTTGTCACATGTGTGGCATGCAGATTCTTTTTCTGTTCTATAGACTGCCTTTCAGTTTTGGGGCTGGTTTATTTTAAGGTATGAAAGCTTTTAGGTTTAGTGGTGTCCCACTTGTTGATATTTGCTTTTGTTTCCCTGGGTGTTGGGGTTGTGTTCCCTAGTGCACTTTGGGGCAACTGTCCTTAGTGTGTCCCTATATTTTCTGTCAAGTACATCACCAAATATTTAATCCATTTGGAATTTTATAGATTGATTTATTTTTCCATATAAGAGCTGGGTACAGGCCAGACATGTGGTGGGTGAGAGGATTGACCAGAGACAGAGTGGGGAACAAAACAGGCAGATCTGGTGAAATACACTACTAAGGGGAACAGCAAGGAGACAGGAGAGGTCAGGTGTGCTGTGTGGGTGATTTCCCTGACTGGGGATCGAACTCATGCTGCAGGGGCTGTGGATAGCTTCATAGTGCTTTGCTTTTACCCCTTGCTTCACCAGGGAGACTTCATGTTGCTGTATTAAATCGGTTGGAATTTGTTGAGGATTTTCGCTTCTCTATTCTTTGGTGGTGTTGGTCTATTTTTCCCTTTTATGCTGTCTTTTTTGGGAGGGATCAGGGCAATGTTGACCTCGTCGTATGTATTGGTGAGTTTTCCTCCGTCTTCTGTGTTTTGGAAGATGCAAATTTCTTTGTATTTGCTTCTGTCATGGTCTCGCGGATGATTTCTTTTCTGTGTCCCTTAATGCTTGAGTATCTTGTGCTCCTGAATGTAGCTAGTCCCTGTGTTCCGATCTGGTCTCCCGTCTTCAGTCTGCACTTCTCCTTGAGTGAGTCAGTCAACTGTGTTTTGCCATTTCTGCCAGTTACACTTGAGTGTGGGCCTCCTGCCCAGGCCTAGTACCACAGGCTTGGCTCCCACCTGACTGCGCCTGTAGCCGTCCCGATGGTACCTGCCGCTCATGCAACATGCAAACCTCGTCCTGTGTTGTGCCCTCCTGTGTGGAATTAGATCCTTCTCAGCCCAGGTCTCCCGCCACCAGAAAGGGATTTCTCTGTTCCAGAGTTTAGTCTCAGCCAATGCAAGTTACTCTTCAATATTACCTGATATCTTAATGGTTGCTAACAACAGCACCGCCGTGTGTGTGTGTGTGTGTGTGTGTGTGTGTGTTCACTTTCTTTCACATTACAGATCTCATTCTTGGCCAAACCTGATGGATGCGTTTTCTCTGTGATGTGGTTGCTCCCTTTTCTGCCTCTGACTGGCCAGGGTGTGGTGTCACCTCAGAGTTCAGGGGGAGAAAGTACTCAGGGGTCAGTGGGACACGTTTGAACAAGGGTCATGACACATACACTCGCTGAGTAAAACCAGGTAGCGCAGATGTTCATCATTTGACCTTTGGTTGTTGGGAGTTTATGTCAGTGATGCTCAATGTAGTTTTTAATAAAGAGCTTCAGGTTTCTGTCATCGAGTCTGGAGTATAGTAGGTGTGTTTGCATTTGTCGTACGTATGATTCTTGCTGAAGTTACGGTTAATGGTAGATTCTTTTAATTTTGATGGATGTTTATTGAATATTGATAGAATGAATATATTTTGCAACCTAATTTTACCAGCTCTTCTGTTACCTGTGACCATGCAAGTGTTTCATTTTATAAAACTTTGCATTGTGGGGAGCAGCAGTGGCTGCTCATCTGCCCAGCATGACTGTTGCTTCTTTTTCTCCTTTTCCTAGTAAACGTTGCCCTACATTCATTCATTCATTCATTCATTCATTTCTTAAAAGATGAACTTATTTATGCATACAATAACTGGGGTATGGGCCAGAGGTGTGGGAGTGGGGAGGATTCACCAGAGACAGAGTGGGGAGCAGAACAGGCAAATCATTGAAATACACTGCTGAGGGGAGCAGTGGGTGAGTCAGGAGAGGTCTGCCACGCCATGTGGTTAGCTCTCTGGCTGGGGATTGAACTCGTGCTGCTGTGGCTGCGGGACAACTCCATAGGTAGTGTCTTTACCTTTGAGCCACCAGGAAAGTCCCTGACCCTTTATTTAAATGTAAAATAAAAAGTCTCCTTTCGTTGTTATTGCATGTGGTGTTCTTTGGCTTTTAGTATCTGACAGTGTTATACAGCCATCACCACCTTCCAGATTTTTTCATTTCCCAGTAATAAAATACTGTACTCATTAAATTCTCGCTCCCAACTGCTCTGTCCCTCAGCCCCTGTGTCCACCGCTCACTTTCCGTTTTCAAGAGTTTGACAACTCAGACCTGTATGAATGGAGTCTTATTACATCTTGTTTTCTTGGTGATTCTCTTATTTTATTGCATTGTTAACTGTTTTGTCATTTCATAGGTATCGTACAGGAGTGATTCATATTGTAGTGTGTGTCATTGTTTAGTTCCATTGTGAGGCTCATTAATATGCTCTTATGTGTATCTACCAGTCTTATTTATCCATTAATCCATCACCGGGGGCTTGGGTTGATTTTGCTTTGGGCTGTAATGACTGGTGGTGCAGTGACCGTAGGTGAGCAAACATCTCTGCCCGTCCTTGCTGTCCCTGCTATTGGTGAACACCCCGGGGTGGGGTGGGTCCTCCTGTCATTCTGAGTTCCCTTTTCCCAAGAATCACCTTCCTGTCTTCCCTCCTGGCTGCATCATTTATGTTTGCCCCAACAGTGCGCAAGGGAGCCAGGTCCCAATTTTTGCCAGTACTTGTTCTTTTCTTTCTTTTTAAATCATTGTGATCCCAGCGGATGTAAAATCTCATCTCTTGTACTTCTCATTCATTTTTCCTTCGTGACTGGTCGTATTGAGCACGTTCATGTGTTAGGTCCTGCTTGGGTATGTGATTTGCAGAACTGTGTATTCCAGTCCTTTACTCATTGCTGCACATTTCCATTTTGAACAGGGTTGAAAGCGCAAGGGAAGTGTATCGTCTCATTTCATCATATGGTGCTTTTATGGCATCCTGAACCCACTCCTGCTGGGAGGTCCCGTGTGTTTCTGTGCACAGAAATGAGCCATCCACCTTCTCTCTGCTGTTGTTTCATTTCTTGTATTAGTGTTTTAATCAATGAGCCTGTAAATAAATGCATTTTTGTTTTCATAGAACTGGGATGTGCCGGGTTACCTTGCGAGAGTTGCTGTCAGTGCAGCAGGCTTGTAGTGTCCTGGATGCTGTTGTGTCTTTGCATTTGTTTAATTCATTGTTTAACCCTCCAGGTTTCTTTATTCCAGGAGTCTCTGCACTTGGTTCCGCTACATGCATTGCTTACTGTTTTGTCATTTCACTGGCAGCGTACAGGAGCTCCTGTGTGTGTGAACACGGGTGTGTGTTATACTCATAGTCTGCTCACTGGGTTTTCCTTTCCAGAGTCGCTTTACTGTGGCTTTCATTAGTTTTCCAAGAATGAATTATAACTAGTTATGACCATTTTTGTGTATGTTGTCTTTTTTGTTGTTACGTAGCGTCACCCGAACCCATTGTGAATAGGGGACACTGAGCATCTTTGTTAGTCCTCCTCTCACTGTGAATGTTGATGTCGCCTGTGGCTGTGTCAAGGATTTGTTTTGTGTTGAGGAAAAATCCTCTGAATCCTTTTTTATATATTACAAATAGAAATTTATTTTAATGGGTTCCTATTCAATATGTATGTGGAGGTATAGGATTTACTACACAGGAAATGAAATGATGGAATAAATTTACAAATTTCTTAAGATGTTTGTTTTCTTATACCTAGTGTCTTATTTTTCAAAACTCTTTCATTGCTATGATCTATTTTTTTCTTTCTCCAAAAGAAATATTTGTCTCTTCTAGTTGTTTTTCCTCTTCTTTTGATACCTTTTGTTCTGGTCACCGTGTTCTCCCCTACGGTGATGAAAACTATCAATAATATCCTGGAGATTACAAATTCTTTTTTTTTCTTTAATATTTATTTTATGTATGCATATAAATGCTCAGGTGTAGGCCACAGGTGCAGGGGGTGAGAGGATTCACCAGAGACAGAGTGGGGAGAAGAACAGGCAGACTGAAATACACTGCTGAGGGGAGCAGCGGGGAGACAGGAGAGATCTGCTGCCCCTTGTAAATAGCTCCCTGGTTGGGGATCGAATTCATGTTGCAGTGGCTCCTGATAGCTTCACAGTGCTGAGACTTAATCTCTTGTGCCACCAGGGAGGCCCTGATTCCCAAATTTATGTTCTCAGCTTAGAGTTCCTGATTTATCAGACACATGTCCAGTTGTGTGTGGAATACCAGTAGACACTAGAATGTTACAGTGTAACTACCAGCCCGTAATGCGGACAGCATATTAGGAAAACATTCCTCATACCTCAGCCACCAAGTTATTACCGAGTTCTCCTCCCCTTTGTCCTTCCATTTTAGAAGTGATTACCTGTTCTGTCTTCTTCTGACTCTGTCAGCTGAAATCTTTTCTTAAAAAATTATATATATTTTACATCATTTTTCATTTTTGAACAATGTATGAATTTTCATCTTGGTTATAGTCCCCATACATCCCACCCCCCCTATTTTGACCCTAATCCCTCCACCCCTCCACTCGCCCATAGTGTGTGTCTGGTTTATACTTGCTTGTAGTTGAACATCTCTTACCTGTGCCTTTTCCCCCCTCATTGCTTGAACATTCTGGTTTCGGGTTCAGTTTTTGTTTACTGTGAGTTGGAGATACCAAGCTTTGAGGTCACAGGAGTAAAATATTGGCATAAAGTTTCACGTGCTTTTCATTTGTTATGAAGCTCCTTTAGCACATGATTCCGGGTGTATGTCTGTTACACCTGCCAGCCAGGCTATCAGCTCCTCAAGGAGCAAATTTTATTCATCCTTTTATTCTTACAATCATAGACACTTTCAAATTTATACGATAAGCTATAGTTCTACTTTTAGGACCGAACGGGTGAATGTAGAGGCGAGGCTCTTTCAACTGTGAATTCTATACATCCTATACAGGACCAAAGAACCACAAAATAAGATGTGTTTGCACTTGCTCTGTCTGACCCAGGCTGCCGGCCCTGAGATGAGGAGAAATGTTCCCTCAGAGGGGACAGTGTCATTTGAAGATGTGGCTGTGAACTTCACGTGGCAGGAGTGGCGTTACCTGAGTGAAGCTCAGAGGACCCTGTACTGGGATGTGATGATGGAGACCTGCAGTCACCTGGTGTCCCTAGGTGAGGAAGCTCCAGTGTAACACTCTAGTGCAATGCTGTCTTCTGCACCAATAAGTGTGCACTTGCTTATGAAACTTAGTGTTGGTGAGGTTGAACATGGCAGGCAGTGTACATTGTGGTTGTTTCGGTTTTCGTTTGGAAAGATTCAGATTGGCCTCTTTTGCACAGCTCTTCACACTGCATTTGTTAGTTTTCAAAGACTGAAGTTGAACTTGATCAAAGACTAACATTGTTTCTCATCACAGGGCACTGTGTTACCGATCCTGAGGAGAGCATCAGGTCGGAGCAGGGATTACAGTCGTGGTCTGTGGACGATCCCCCAAACCAGGACCTCTCAGGTCAGTCAGTGCTTGCCAGGTCGGGAGGCTGAGAGGAGGCTGGGAGTGTGGCCAGTGATATTGGCCACACTGAGGTGCTTTTCCAATGTCCAAACTTGGACAGTGTGTCTGCATATATCAAACTGATTCTTTATTCAGTTCCCAAATATTCTCTCTGGTGAATTTCGTCCTGCTCTTTTAATAATGGTTGTCTATGTTCTTAAACCAGTATGCAGTCCCTGATACTGTGGGGATTATTCTGCAGTAATCACATATCTCTGTTCTCTCTCTTAGTGTATTCTTTTCTTTTCTTTTTAAAGAGGCATGTATTTTTATTTATTTATTTATTTGTTTGTTTGTTTGTTCATGCATTGGGTACAGTCAGAAGCACGGGAGGGTGAGAGAATTCACCAGAGCCAGAGCAGGGAGCAGAGCAGGCAGAAGGACCAAAGTACACTGCTGAGGGGAGCAGCGGGTGGCAGGAGAGGTCTGTGCGCCATGCGGGACTCTCCTCCGGTGGCCGGGGAGCAGCCGGGGATCGAACCAGCGCCGCAGAGGCCGCGGGCAGCTTTGCAACCCAGCACTCCACCGCTGTGCCATCGGGGAGGCCCCTCTCTTAGTGTATTCTCATAGACTGTTTTCTTTAGGTACCTTGTCAGGAATTTTTTTATTCTGTGTGTCCATGGGAAGTTTAGCCAGTTGTAAATTTTCTATGAGAGGGGAGAGCAACAGTACTCACATAAATGATCTTTACTTTCTGAAGTTATACACTCTGTGAGGAAAGAATATATAATAAATACATTTATTAATAGAGAGGTAAAGCCACAGAGGATGTTTGACCAGCATGAGTGAAACAAAGTGGAGGATGTTGTTTTTGTGTGTGTGCTCCATACACATCATTATAGAGATTAATTCTTTTCTTTCAGAGCTCAGGTGAGGTGAATGGCTTGCACTGATATGTCATATCTATAGTTCCCTCTGCAGTCTGGGCTAGAGGCTGTGTATTGCTATTGGAGATGTCACTTTGCAGGTGACTAACTCAAAAGGAATAGAGTGGCGTTGACTGGAGATTTATTTAGAACATGAGTAGTGTTCCTGGGGCAAGCCTTGTGACCACCCACATAGTAATTGTGAGGCTAAGGAGGAACCAGAAATTGTTTAGCGTGGGAAGGGATGTTCTGTGACATGGGAGGGGGAACCTGAGGTGATGGTTTCTAAAGCCATGGCACCAAGAGTTTCAATTTGGGGGCTCATACCTTGGGGAATAGTGCGACCTGTGCAATTCCACATTCTCGTGGGAATCGTTGGGAGGAAAGTAAAGGAATCAATGACAGTGTGATTTAGCTGAGAGTCACACATGACATAAAAACTGGAGCTGCTATGAACAAAGCAGAAACACAGGTTCCAGGGAGTGCGTTGAGAACACCAGGGTGTTGCTCTCAGAAGGATGTGGGAAAAGACTTTAACACTGATAGCCACAGGCTGGATGCAGAACCTTTTTCCTATTGCTCAGCAGGAACATGGGACACAATGATGAGGCGGAGTTTGCTGCATGTATTAGGATTCTGAGCCTTATGTGATATGATATTTAAATAAGAACTGACAGGTCTCTGCTGTGGAGGAATGTGCATGCCTCTGAGAACCTCTGCAGGTGACCGTGGCCAGGGCCGGGGTCAAAAGAAAAACTAAGGAAATGGAGAAGCAGAGTCCTTGTGTCTCAGCAGGCTTCTTGCTTAAAGTGCCTGGGCAATGACTGGGCCACTCAGTGCACAGGTTTCCGGGAAAGCCATGGCCTCTGCAGGGCTTGGTTATTCAGAAAGTACCCTCAAGAGCTGCGCAGGGTCAGTCTAAGAAAGAAGGTGTGTAGGATCTATGTTGGGTGGAATGCTTCTGGTTGAAATCGACAACTCTAGTTAAAGGACTATTTTCACCAAATATTTATGATTTATAAAGCCATTATGAAATTAGTTTTACTGCTTTGTTATCCTGGTTTGGCATTAGAAAATCTGTTAATTGGGGCCTCCCTGGAGGCCTAGGGATTAAGTCTCTTAACTCTCACTATTATGGCCTGAGTTTGATCCACAGTGAAGGAGCTCACCCACTTTGGCACAACAGACCTCTCCTGTCTCACCCGCTGCTCCCCTCAACAGTGTATTTCAGTCAGTCCGCCTGTTCTGTTCAAAACACTGTCTCCATGCTCCCCTATAGCACCCCCACTCCTGCACTTCTGGACTACACCCCAGATCTTCTATGCTAAAATAAAAAAAAATACCAAAAATCTATTCTCCCCATAATTTGCTATGGGCAAAAAGCATGAATCAGAAAATCAATACCTGTAAATTGTGTTGAAATACAGGAGCTTTTGTGCCACTTAGTAGTATTCACTCAAAATGCTTCCTTTTTAGAGACATGGTCATTTTTATCTCATTTTAGATGTCCATACTGTGGATCACCTGACTCAGGACAGCCCTGCAAATCAGGGCAGACATGTGTGGCAAGTTCTTACCGCCAGCAGCAAAATACCATCCAACGAGAGAGCTGACTTAATGGAAAAAAGCAATTTGGACTCAATTCATTGTTTGAACCATAGTATCAAAAATGAAAACAATTCAGCGATGATGCCTGAGAACTTTACTATACATAGGACCATGATGATCCCTGGTGAGCCTCATGCAGAGCATGCTGGAGAGAACGAGGAGGTCTTTAGTAGAATGAGGGAACCCATCAAGTATCCTGAGCACCTTAGTCACCAGGTGATTCAGAACTTTCAAGAGCCTTTTGAATTTCGTGAACAAGGAAAAGTTGTGAGTGAAGAAACAATATTTACACCTAGAGGAGCCCTTCCAGAAGGGGCTGCCCGTAAATGCAATGAGTGCAGGGACACCCATGATGAGGTACCTTTCGTTGTCCGAGACAGAACCCAAGGAGAACAGACTCGCTGCAGTTGTAATGAAAAGGGGAGAGCTGCGGAGATGACTCCAGTGCATTTGAATCCTCCTAGGTATGTTGAACATGAGCATCAGGAATTTTATGAAAGTGGGGCCAGTCTCAGCAACACATTTCACACCTATCCGCGTGAGAGTACCCAGTTGGGACAGAATAATTTTGGATATAAGAGATATGGTGAAGCGGCCTCTAAAACCTCTGTTCTGACTGAACATCAGAAAACACAAGCAGATGATCAACCTGATGACTGTGGGGGCACCTCTGAGATTTCCTTACAGAGGGGATACCAGAGAAATCTCACTGCAGTGAAGTTGTTTGGCTCTAACGATTATGTGAAAACTTACTCATGGAAGACTGCCCTCACTTTACATCCACAATCTCAAACGGGAGTGAAGCGCTACCCGTGTCAGATATGTAAGAAAACTTTCAGGTGGAAAACTACTTTTAGTGTCCATCAGAGAACTCATACAAGGGAGAAACCCTATGAATGTCAGGCGTGCAGGAAAGTGTTCTCCTGTAAGTCAGTTCTTGTTCTACATGAGAGGACTCACACTGGAGAGAAATGCTATGAATGTGAAGGGTGTGGGAAAGCTTTTTCCAGGAAGTCTCACCTTACTGAGCATCAGAGAATTCACACTGGAGAGAATCCCTATGAATGTCAAGAGCATACGAAGACGTTCCCCTGGAAATCATCCCTCCCTCACCATCAGAGACGTCACACAGGCGAGAAACCCTATAAATGTGAAGGGTGTGGGAAAGCTTTTTCCAGTAAGTCTTACCTCAATGAGCATCAGAGAATTCACACTGGAGAGAAGCCTTATGAATGTGAAGAGTGTAGGACGATTTTCTCCTGCAGATCATCCCTCATTCACCATCAGAGAAGTCACACTAGAGAGAAACACTATGAATGTCAAGCATGTAGGAAAGTGTTCTCCTGTAAGTTAGTTCTTGTTCTACATAAGAGGACTCACACTGGAGAGAAACCCAGTGATTGTGAAGAGTGTGGGAAAGCTTTTTCTAGAAAGTCATTCCTCAGTCAACATCATAGAAGTCACACTGAAGAGAAACCCTATGAATGTGAAGGGTGTGGGAAAGCTTTTTCCAGTAAGTCTTACCTCAGGGAGCATCAGAGAATTCACACTGGAGAGAAGCCTTATGAATGTCAAGAGTGTGGGAAGACATTCCCCTGGAAATCATCCCTCAGTTACCACCAGAGAAGTCACACTGGAGAGAAACCCTATGATTGTGAAGGGTGTGGGAAAGCTTTTTCCAGTAAGTCTTCCTCAAGGAGCATCAGAGAATTCACACTGGAGAGAAACCCTATGATTGTGAAGGGTGTGGGAAAGCTTTTTCTAGTAAGGCACACCTCATTAGACATCAGAGAATTCACACTGGAGAGAAACCCTATGAATGTGAAGGGTGTGGGAAAGCTTTTTCCAGTAAGTCAAACCTCATTAGACATCAGAGAAGTCACACTGGAGAGAAACCCTATGAGTGTCAAGAGTGTGGGAAGACTTTCTGCCAGAAAACATCCCTCAGTATACATCAAAGAAGTCACACTAGAGAGAAGCCTTATGAGTGTCAAGAGTGTGGGAAAATTTTTTCCAGTAAGAACACTCTCACTGGACATCAGAGATGTCACTGGACAAAATCCCTATGATTGTGAAGAATGTGGGAAAACTTTTCAGGAAGTCAGCCTTCACTAGGCATGACAAAATCCACACTGGATGGAAATGCTGTGAATGTCAAGAGTGGACAGGCAGGCCTCCCCTGGTGGTGCAGGTGGTTGTGCGCAGCACTGTGAAGCTGTCCGTGGCCTTTGCGGTGGGAGTTTGATTCCCTGGCCGGCCAGGAGCAACCCCATGGTGCGGCAGACCTCTCCCGTCTGGCCCGCTGCGTGTATTTCAGCAGTGAATTTCGGTCAGTCTGCCTGTTCTGTTCCCCGCTCTGTCTCTGGTGCATCCTCTCACCCTCCCACACATCTGGCCTGTACCCTGATTCTGGTATGCTTGAATAAATAAAATCTTTAAAAAAATATTCAAACTTAGGAGCTCAAACCACATCATTCAGTTGAGAGCAATGGGAACTGACATACAGTTTCACTCCTAATTGCGTGGAGTTACCTGGTTCACTCTTCTCCCAAGTTCATGCAGTGATGATGTTCCTGTTGCTGTTGCTTCTAGTATCCTCTTAAGTTCCTGGGCGATGCTATTCATGTCCACGGTAGCTGTCTGTCTACATGGCACATTGCATGTTGCGTGGGTAAGTGATCTCTCTGGGTTTTCTAACTTAGTCGTCACGTTCTGTCCAGTACTCTAAGTCTCTGTGGTGCCCCCTGATGCTGGGATTGCTCACCAAAAAAATGTCCTTCTCTAGAAGGAAACCTTGAACTGTGTGCTATTGGCTGTAAGTTGAGGTCTGCAGATGTGTTTACCTACCTTTCATGATGAAGGTTTCTCGGGGCCTCCCTGGTGGCCTCGGGGTTAAGTCTCAGCGCTATTGCCTGCTCTGGCCAGGGTTTCAGCCCCAGCTAGGGAACCGCCCCACATATGCTAGAGGCCGCAGCAGGCCTCTCCTGTGTCACCCGCTACTCCAATTAGCCAGGTATTTCAGTGGTTCTGCCTGTTTGTCGCCACACTCAGTATCTGGTGAATCCTCTCACCCCCGAACCTCTGGCCTACACCCCAGTTCTACAAAATGAGGGAATTTTTTTGGAAGATTACTTCTGCATATAAGAACTGGGGTGCTAGCCAGAGGTATGAGGGGGTGAGAGGATTCTCCACAGAGAGAGTGGGGAGCACAACAGGCGGATCTACTGAAATCCACTGCTGAGGGGTCAGTGGGGAGACAGGAGAGTTCTACTGTGCCATGTGGGTCACCTCCCTTGCCAGGGATCGAATTTGTGTCTGCAGTACTGAGAACAGCTTCATAGTGCTGAGACTTTCACCCCTGCACCACCAGAGGCCCCTATATTATTTTTAAAGGAAAGGATTCTTGCCTTTTAAATTTTTTTTTTTATTAAATTGATGTTCATCTTTGGGCAATATTGGATTGCTCCCCTTCTGTACAATTCTTGCAAATGTCCTGTCCCCACCGTCCCTGTGACCCGTCACCCCAGGCCCTGGTACTCCTCCCTCCCATCTTGGGCCCTCTTCTGCCCCATCCCCTGCTGGCATCTCAGCTGTCATCTGTCTGCTAGTTTTGTCTTTTTCCCCCTGACACTTTCTTCATTTCCCTGTATTCCTCCTGGAGGTGATCAATGTAATACAGTTCTTTTTCCTTTTCTCTTTGTTCTGAACATAATCCCTTCCGCCGTTGCTGGCTGTGCCCTGAATGTGGTCTTTGTCTGAGTCAGTTCATAGCTTGGGGTGAGTGGTCGGCGTGGAAGGTGGTGGCTGAGGAAGTCCTTGATGTCACTCTCGCTACCCCCTTCCCCCAGCGGCCCTGAGCACCTTCTGGTGTGTTTCTTTGGCGCCGTGGTGATGCCGAGTGGAGAGTTTGTGTAGCAGGCCCGGAGTCCGAGGCCTCGGATGTGCTCTTCTTCGTTTCTTCTATTTTATGTGAAAATAGTTCCGAGTGGAGCCCAGAGTTCCAGAAGAGCCAGACATTTACTCACAGGAGTAAGGACAAGAAAGCTCCCTGAGCAGAACGGTCCCAAGGGGTGGCCGCTGGGGCCGAGAAGCAGGGGCTCCCATGGCTGTGGCAGGAAGGGAACGGGTGCTGGTCGTGGGGGTCTCTGTGGCGTGTCTCTTGCTGAGGGGCTTGGTCTGAGGGCTCTCCCGAGGCTCCGAGGCCCGCTGAGTTTGCCCCCGTTACTCGCCTGCATGTCCACACCTAGCCTCGGTCTGTGGGTTTGCAGTCGTGCCCTGTGTCGCCTCCGCGGTGTCCCCTCCGCAGGGCTGGGCTCGGGCCCGTCCATCGGGGATTGTTTCCCTGATCATGGATTTTGGACTTGGGCGCCTGCTCCTCCCTGCCTGCGCCCTCTATGCAGCTTCCTTCGTCAGGAACATCTCTACAGCCAGAGCCCCTGTCCTGTGTTTCCAAGTCGGTGACTGACGGAGTGTCTGTCCCCTGAGAGTATCTTCCCTGATTCAGGGGGAGGTACATTGGTCCCTTCAAACTCCACCTGTAGTGTCGGGGCCACGGGCCATATTCCTCAACGCGCCATGGGAGGTTCCTGAGGTTTTCACCCCCAGGCCGCAGGCCACTTTCCACGATGCTGCAGGCTCCTAGGTGTCCTTGAGCACCCATTAAAGATGGCATCGGGCCCCTCAGCCTTCACCTCAGACCTGATCCAAAGAGGCCTGCAGGGTTTGCTAAGACAACGCTCCTCTGCTAGTGCCACGTTCCCTGGAAGTGTCTGTTGCTGTGACGTGACCCATGTGGGCTGTTGCAGCAAGGGTCACTCTCTGCTTTGAAGGTGAGGGGTTCAGGGGCTCGTGTCATGTCCCCTTGCAGGTGTGTTGGGGCAGCCAGGGGTGTGGCGGGTGAGGCCTCTGCGGATGGGTGGGCGGCCCAGGTGGGTGGTGATGCTGTCGGCAGATGCCCAGGAGAGGCCTCCACCGTGATCCGTGGGACCTTGCCCATCTCAGTCACATCCCGGAGTCAGTATGTGCAGGATCAGCATAGCCCAGAGACACTGCTCACACTCCAGCTGTGAGGACAGTACAGGAACCCTGAGCTCCAGGGACAGGGAGTGGACCGGGGCAGGGGAGCACTCCCCAGAGAGTGGGGAGCAGAACAGGCAGATCCATTGAAATCCACTGCTGAGGGGAGCCGCGGGGAGACAGGAGAGGTGCTGTGCCCTGTGGGTCAGCTCCCTGGCTGGGGATGGAGCTCTTGCTGCGGTGGCTGTGGACAGCTTCGTGGTCTGAGACTTACGGAGCAGGGAGGCTATGGGTCCATTCTTGTGTGGGGCGCTTATCCTTTGGATATGGGGACAAGAGGTGTGTGCTACTTGCAGGTTTGTGCCATCTCCCTTGGTCTCCCCCACCCCTAAGTTCATCCCCTGGATGAAAGGGAGTGTACCCATAAGATACCAAGGTGGATGGGTTCTCTTGGGCTGTGAGGTTCTCTTTCTCTGGAGAAGCAGAACTGCTCGGGAAGAACATGTTCATCTTGGTAATGTAGCCAGGCTAGAAGACAAAGAATAGTTTGACTTTGTTAACAGTAAAGTAATGAGCAGAAGGAACGCAGGTCTATTTTGGGGATGTATGTAAGCCTCCAGGGACACCCTGTTTTCAGAAATGAGAGTTAAATGACAGAGTGAGTGTATGTAATGTCACCAAACACTGCATTGAAAAACATATGCCTTCCAAAGTACAAATAATGAACTGGAAGAGGAAATTAACAAAGCCATGCCATCTACAATTGCACATGCAAAAAATTAACTGGGAATAAACTTAGCAGAGGAGATGAAAGATTTTACAAGGAAAACTGTCAAACATTGTGGAAAAAAATAATAGAAAGCATAGAGAATTGGAAAGAGAGACCCAGCTCATGGGGTGGAAGAATCAACATTGTCCAAAGGGCCATCCGGCCCAAAGTCCCTTCTAGATTCACTGCAATCCCAATAAATATCCTGATGGCATTCTTCAGAGGAATGAAGATTACAAAGATTACTGAGGTACATATGGAAACACAAAAGACCCCAAATAACCAAAGCTTCCCTGATTAAAAGTGGGGGAAATGAAGGAGTCACACTTCTGACCTCAAACTAAAGGTAAGGGGCCTCCCTGGTGGCCCAGGGGTTAAACACTGTGCTCTCAAACTACTGCCAGCCAGTGTGCACAAGTTGGATCCCCAGCCGGCCAGGGAGCTGACTGACATGTGCCTCAGACCTCTCCTGACTAGTCTGCTGCGCCCCTCAGCAGTGTATTTTGTCAGTCGGCCTGCTCTGTTCCCTGCTGTCTCTGGTGAATCCTCTCAACCCCGGCATCTACGGCCTGTACCCAGCTCTTGTCTGCATAAATAAATAAATCTTAAATATTCGTTAAATGAGTATTTTGGAAAGCCACATAATTGAGCTAGAGTTACCTTATCAAATCCTTAGTTATAAATCTGACTTGTGATATCATTTTGAAGAATACTAATAATAAATATGTGTAGATTCATGAAACACATCTGTAAAAACTTGGATGTGTGTAAGATTATGTGGAACATCCCGAGAGACAGGAAATACATCCCGAGAGCAGGCCAGGAGGAGCATCCCTTCTCATGAGTAGGGATGAACATCAAGCAGTCTCGGGCCGGGAGAGGCGGCGTTGTTTCCAGCTCGTGTCATGAGACTCTCGTGGGCTTGGCTGCGGTGACCGACATGTCGGCCAAGGTGAGGTGAAGTGTGGACTCTCCTTCCTGAGGAGAGAGTGATCGGGGCCGTCACCCTGCGGAGACCTGGGGTGGAGGATGTGGACACCGCTCGGGGTGCCGTCTAGCCGTGACTCTGGGCACCCTGCTTGGGGGCCTTTCGGGGTGAGCTGCGGAAACAGTGTGAAGGACACGTGAAGTCTGTGAAAAGGCCCCCAGCGCTTGCCGCGGTCACTGCTGAGTAACCCGGGAATGTTTTCCATCTGCGGGGAGCCCTGTGCTGGCTCTAGCGACTCATGGCCCTCCAGGGACTCCATCGGGGAAGCCAGAGCCGCTGCCTCCCGGGGCCTGAGTCCCGAATTCACTGGGGGAGGTTCCCGGGGCCGGGTGGAGTCGGGGTGCAGAGGCGGCCCAGACCCGGTGGTGCCAGGAGGCGGCCCTTGGCGGGTGGATTTCTCCATCGGGCGCAAACGTCCTCAAGGTGCTCGTGGGGGATTCTTGCAACAGCGGCCGGCGAGGCCCGAGGAGGAAACGAGGTGACAAGAAGCCACGGGCGGCGGCGGGGTGGGGTGGGGGAACCTGCACCCGCCCGGGCAGAGGCGGCCCTGGCACCTTCGCGCTTGGGGGCTCTCGCTGACGCGGGGCGCTCCACGGGGGGACGGGCCATCCCGGGTCCCAGGCGGGACCATCCACCCCTCGCGCCCCCGTGACCCGCGTGTCCTCCCCGCGCTGCGATGGTCTCGGCGCCGCAAGAGCGTCAGCCCGTCCCAGGCACCTCCTCCCCGCGCGCCGGTGTCTGAGCTGGCAGTGCCTCCTCTGGGTTCTCAGTCCTCCCTCGACTCTCCCGGGGCGCTGCTCCTTCGGCGCCGCTGGACACGGGGTGTCCCCAGGGGTCATGTGGGTGGCTGTCATCAGTGTGGAGAGACAAGTGCATGCGGGGGTTGTTCTGTGTCTGTCACTCACCTCCTTCTTCTTGGGGGACGTGACCTCGAAATTGGGAATTTAAAAAGTCCTGTTGTTACAGGAG